CCCCCCACCCCGCCCGAGTGTGTTAAAAACAAGTGAAATATTATTTCGCAATTAGACCTATTGCAATATAGTTCGTATAAAACCATCATATTTTTCATAAACTAATAATCTTGTGCGATAGATATAAAGTCAACTTTCGTGTAAAACATTTTAAAATTGTACTAGAAAAGTGCTTTAGAATATCTGAAAATGAGACGGATGTGAAAGTAAAATAATACTTACCGTTTTTCTGTTGTCTTTGTTTAACTGTATTTTAATCCCCTTCTTATGTAGTATAGACTAGATCAGACTTAACGCTGGGATAAATGAAGACCCTAGCTTCTGCTGAACATCTTTATCCATCAAAGGCCTCATGCCATTTATACAACGTTACCTTGTTTCTAACCGACTATAATTACTTCGGAAGATACAATGTATTTCTTTTCTTTTGCGGACATATGGTATCGCTGGTGATGTCACATACTTAATATTATTTATCTGAAGTCACGTGTTATGAATGACAGCCATATATACTGTCTTGACGCGCAGGGTAATTAGGAAATTCGGGAGGGTAGGGAGAGAGGGGGCTGGTTGTAGTATTAAATGGTAGAACTAGAACAGGGAGTGACTGGTGGCTGGCAGTTAAATAGCATTACAATGTATTATTTTTTAATTACTTGGGAACCTGTTATTTTACGTTTGTTGCGTAACATACGAACTGTTGCTTTACTAGTTTAGTTTAGTTTAGTTCAGTTTAGCTTAGTTAAGTAGAGGTTTTATCTCGAGACAAGTTTTGGCGATTTCTTTTACTGAATGTTACGAAGTATGCACTTGTATTATGAGTAAAGATGAAGGCGCCTAGCGCTGTATTAAATAGGAGTGGGCGCTATAGAATTGGTATACATTGTTATATTTCTTATTATTGGTGTTATTGTTATTATTATTGTTGTTGGTGTTGTTGTTGTTATTGTTGTGGTTGCACTTGTTGTTATTGTTATAGACATACATGTATATGTCGTTGCTGTTATTGTTGTCATTGTTGATGTTGTTGTCAAGCCAGCGGCCTTTTGGCGTTTTAGACAGATTAGATCGTCCTATTCCATGTTGTAAAGGTTGAAATTAACCCTTGGTCTTGTGTATCACCGTGTAAAAGTTTGCTATATCCGTGTGATCTTTGCGTCATTGAATAATTAATTCGTTATCCGAGCAGTGGTCTGAAAAAGTCACACAAAAACCGTTGTGAGCGCGGTTTGAACGAAGATATATATATATATATTATGTATATATATATATATATTATGCCTCTAGATTTCTCAGCTTATAGAATCTTATGAAAGCATTTAATGTGGGTGTGGTTGGCAGGTGACCTGGTGCGGTTTGCTCCTTCTTTCCTATCAAAAGTGTATTGTCCTTATCTCTCCTCCTTCCTTTTTGTGTTTGTTACTCTCTTAGTAACACCTTTAATTTTCGACACCTAGATGACCGTATTGTGATGCAAATGCCGTAAAACTCGTACTAAAATGGAGTATATAACTCGGTTTCTGAGAGACTTGCACTGTAGTCGACACAAAGGTCTTGAACAACTTGCTCTCACTGGAAAAAAAGAAGGCAAACGAGGTAAAGGTAGACCCAGAGGATCAGATTGGTAGAAGGACTGGTCTCGATGTCCTAAAATTCCAGGTTAGATCATCGTTAGAATGCGAAACAATTTTTTTGTCAGGATGGAGGGGTTCAAGACTTGTTCAATGTTGTTTTCCTTGATTAGGGCTGTTCGTGAAAGTGCAGTTGTGGTCGCAAAACTTCTGAAATAAGCTGTCTCGATGTGTCTTGTTAAATTGAACATGAAGCACACACAACCACGGCGAACTGACCCAATACAACGTCACTTTCCATCTCATTCTGTGGTGCAGGGGACATAATCCTGTCGGTAAATGGAGAAAGTGTGGAGTCGTCTACCCATGCAGAGTTGGTCAAGAGAATCCAGCAAAGTGGACCCGACATGAGGTAAGTGGATATTACACATAGATGTACACTATAGTACTAGATACTGTACGCCCCTCTCTCGCCTTGCTGCGCGATGGCCACATTTGACAGAGGCGTCCGCCATGTTTTTTGTGGCAAGTTGTGTGAAGGAGTTCACGCTAAAGCAATGGGCTAGGCATGTTTTCTCTCTCTCTCATACGCGATAGGCGAGGCTTGGTTCTTGTTGTTGGGTTTTTTTTACATGGGCGCCGTGGCGTACTATATCTAAATTACTAAATTGCAATAATACGGCGTTCTTTCTACAACTAGATCTACAAATAAATGTATTATTAAATAGATAGAGATAGAGATATGGACTTTTAAAAAAAGAAGAAAAAAACCCCAACCTTTATTTGTTCATCAGCACTTTATCTACGAGGTGGTTTATTTCTTATTGACTGAATCAAAGCGTATAGGGCCTATAGAACTTTTAAAAAGAAGTATGAAAAGATGTGGGTGTCATGGGAACCTCCCATAACCATCCCTCCCTCTCTCTCCTCCCGAATCCCAATACCAACACCCCCCTCAGATATATGAGTTTGCCATTAAATGAAATGAGGATGAGCCATTGGAAAAAAAAATTCCAGAGTTTTTCAGCATTTAGGTGTAGGAATGCAATGAAGCTCTTGATAAAGCAAATTCAGCCAAACAAATGATGAATACATGTACTGGTATTTTTAAAATCGAGTTAAACTTTCCCTTGTGACATTTGAACAGGAAACTATTTTTCATTCATATGTTCACTTTTTTAAAAAGTATACTAAATTATAAGTAGTGTTTTCATATGTCGGTATTAAACTTTGGTTTATATTGATTTTAAGAACTAAAGAAGACCATATATAGCACTTAAACTAAAGCTCCTCCTATTGCTGTTTTAAGTAAGTCTAATTTTGGACATTAGTAAAGCAACTGTGACAACTCTGGACTCACTAAAGATTTTAAAAAAGTGAACTTAAACGTTGTTTTGTAACCTAGTCAATTGTTTTTCTACTCAGTGTAGTGATAACTGAAACAAAAACCTTTACTAAAGTGTTTTTGGACAACATTCAATAAAACAAAACAATAAAAAGTACACTGTTTCAGTTTGATAAAGAAATTTCCTGCCCATTGTGAAAAAGATCAAGCTGCTAGTCAACCTTAACTTCACATGGTCCAGAACCTTACTGATGGCTCTTTATGTTTTAAAAAAGAAACCCGGAGTGACTATTTGTGTCTATAAGACATATTATGTACTAAAAATAGATGATGTAGTAAAAGAAAACAGACATCACTGAACTGCCTGACAGAACCAGTAAGACGTTAATCCAGAAAGGGACAAGAGGTTTCACATGCTTGCACCTTTAAGAGAATCGCTTTGAATCAAAACATAACGTTAGAATCAAATACGTGGCCACCTTGCTTTATATATCTGTCCCCATCGTTTTATGCAAGAAAGATTCTGAAATTAAACAAACTGAGCCCCCCAAAAATGTGAATTTACGCGATTCTGTTAATTTTAACAAAAAAATGAGAAAGGAAAATAATCAGAAATTATGCTAAAAATTTTCGAATTTTGCTAAATTATGCGGGGTGCATAAAACCACAGGGACAGCTTTATCAACCCATGGTCAAATTTACCTTTTTCAGGTGGCCGGGCATGGTCACTCATTGTCCGACGCTTTATCAAAAATTCTGAATCGGCTCCTCACGCTGTGGACAGGCCGCCATATTCCATTCACCTGTCGTCATTGTTAGTCCTCCAATGAATGTTTACCCAAGTTGACCATTGGGCAGGCCTAACAATAAATTTTCAACTGCTGGTGGCTGAGGGTAACCTGTAAGCCCCGCCCACAACTCACGATCAAATCGTGTGTGAGGTGACTGGTAACTGTTTTGTTTACCTAATCTGTAACAAAGTAACAATGGACGTTGAAGTGAACTTGCGACAGATGCGTCGATCATTCTCTAAGTGGTGGCGACCCGTGTGTTTGTTTTACCATGGGACTCGGTCTCCATCGTCTTACTTACATAATTTTTCGTTTATTTTACCCTTGCACAAAATCAGCAACAAATTTACCCCCTCCCCCCCCCCCAAAAAAAAAGCCCAACCCCAACAAAATAGCAACTCAAAAAACCTTACAACACCCATCCCCCTTTTCGAAAGAAAACAATGACCCTTTTTAAACAGCATTACGGCAGCCTAAAGCCTGAGGTCAGCCCCGGTGTGGACCTCAGAAGAAAATGATTTGCTTTCTTCATTTTGATCACTCCTGCCTAAAACGGCCGCCTGTATTATACGGCCACTTTTCTCCATGACAATGGGTGGCCGTTTTACACAAGTTTGACTGTACATAAATATATGTAGATCTAGGCCTACTCTTTGGATTTCCCACCACAGTTTATGTTTTTTAAAAATGGTCAATATCATTTACATTGTATTGGACTTTAATTTGTTCACTTTCGCCTGTACCCGTAAAAAAAAAGCTTTGTTTATTAATAATATATAATGCCAGTGCATGTGAGATTTTGCAAGGCACTCCTGTAGGCCAGCTACCAATAATTTTTTTTAAACCTTGACCCAGTAAACGAAAAACTTATTTTTTATTCAGGCCCCCTTTGAGTACAGAGAGAGGATCACTTTCTACAATAAATGATTTACAGTAATTGCTTTTTTTTTTAGACAACGACACCACCCTGCACTTACATTTCATTATAATCACATATTTCCTCTGCCCCAAAACCGTCCAGACGTCACCACGTGCGTCTGGAAAAGTACTCACTCGCAGTGTTTGGAAGGCATGCGTCAAAGACGATCAAAATAGCCTTAAATAGGTCAGGTTTTAGAAGTGCTCAGTAGTGTAAACTCGCTGGTAGTGGTAGTATCCTGAAAACCACCTATTATTTTTTTAATCTACTTTCGGCTAACGTCAACGAAAACGGGTTGGAATCGTATTTTGCAGTGACCATCGTTAATAGACTTTTATAGGTTCGGTTGGTCATCCACTTCTAGACTTCAATGCAAAGACCTGAAGGCAATACAATTATAAACAGATCGACTTGTTTTTATCCCATTTTCACCTTAGACAGACGAAAGTTAACAGATTATGGCACACCTCCTAACCCACCCACAAATATAAAAGAAAAGAAGAAACTGACAACCCC